TTAACATTCAGTTTTGTAGTTCTGGATGTATTTTTCTGGGTATATATTTTTTAAATATCTGTATTTTTTTTTGTAAAATTTACATGGTAATATAATCTACTCCAGAGACTTGTATCTATGAATTTATATATCTTAAGTGCTTTCAAAAATGTTTGGCTATATAAATTTAAGCTTTTATATTTCATATATTAAAAATTTCATATTTTCCCCTAACCACTCAAATAGAACATGTTTATGTATGGAAGTTAATTTTAATGTTTAATCAAGAAAATTTGATTATGTAAATAAATCTGGTGTAAAATTACTATATGCCATAGCAAAATGGAATAAAAAAAAAGTTATCTCTGTTCTTAATATTACAAAACCTTAATCAAAATGTAACTGAATGTCTATGTCATGTATCTAGCACTGTGATACATGAATAATAAAACAGAAGCATAAAATGTAGCCCCAACCCTTATGGAGCTTATGTTTGAAGGGTAAATGAGTATAAGTGAATGCAATACAATATTCAGTCTTAAAAGGGAAGAAAATTCTGGCACATGCTACAAAATGGATGAACTGTGAAGACATTGTACTAAGTGAAATATGCCAGTCACAAAAAGGCAAATATTGCATGGTTCCACTTATATGAGGTACCCAGTGTAATCAAACTTATAGAGACAAAGTAAAATGGTGGTCGCAGTGAACTGGGAGAAAGGAGAAAAGGGGAGCTATTGTTTAATGGATATAAAATTTCAGTTTTGAAAGATGAAAAGAGTTCTGGAGATGTATGGTAGTGGTGATTGCACAGCAATGAATATACTTAATACTACTAAAATACATACTTAAAATAGTTAAAGTGGTCAATTTTATGTATGTATATTTTACCACAATGAAAAAAATTATATAGTGATATTATGATTTAATAGAATATTATTAGGTCATCGGGAAAGTCATGACACATTTTTCCATAGATACATAGCAATGAGAATCAAGGAACTACAATAATTTCAATAATATGGATGTTCTCACATATAATATCAAATAAACAAAGCAAGATTAAAAAGAAGCACATGGTATATGATTCCACAAATATAAATGCCAAAAGTGGTCGAAACTAACATATGTAGTTGGAAATCAGGGAATTGGTTACCTTTATTGGAATAGCGTCTAAAAAGAAGCATGAGATAAATTTGTTGCTTTTCATACTCTGTCTCTTGATTTCTGTGTAGTTAGTGTACTTGTGTTCATTCTATAAAAATTTATAGAGCTGTACTCTTTAATTTTGAACTTTTCTGTATTTATACTTAAGTTAAAATTCCAGAGGTAGATTTAAAAAAACACTAGTACAAATAAAACAATTTGGGAAAATAAGTGAAACTTTATAATACCGACCTGAAGTATGTAGAAAGGCATGCAGAAAAGTGGACATCAATGTTAGTTAGAGTAGTCAAAGAAGCCTTTTGGAAGGAAACAGGTCTTGTTGGTTGTAGTTCATACAGTAAAAAGGGCAGAAGATGATTCTAGGTAAGGGATGTAGATGAGGGGATAGCTTAGGAGGAAATAAAGATAGAAAATAGGATTATAAGTCTGACTAAAATAGCATATTTATATTATGAAGTTGGTGAGGTAAGACTGTGAAATTTCTTTTATACTAGCTGTAATTTATTGGGGTGTAATTTATAAACAATAAATTCCACAAATCCTTAATATACAGCTTGATGAATTTTAATATATAGTCTTTAAAACACCATACAGATGAAGATATAGAAGCTTCCATCACCACCAAAACTTCCCTTGGCACCATTCCAGTTAGCACTCATTCCTACTCCTAAGGAAAAAACCCACAATTCTAACTTCTATTGCTATAGACTATTTCTGGCTATATTACTGGATTCATATAGTATGTCCTATTTTAAGTCTGGCTTTTTTCTTGACTTACTTTTAAAAATTATTTTATTTAACTTTCTCTTTCTTTCTCTCTCCTTCCTTCCTTCCTTCCTTCCTTCCTTCCTTCCTTCCTTCCTTCCTTTCCTTTCCTTTCCTTTCCTTTCCTTTCCCTTCCTCTCTCTCTCTCTCTTTCTTTCTTCCTTTCTTTCTCTCTCTCTCTCTCTCTCTTTCTTTCTTTCTTTCTTTCTTTCTTTCTTTCTTTCTTTCTCTTTCTTTATTTTAATTTGACCAGAGAGAGACAGAGTAAGAAAGAAAGAGAGAGAGAGAGAAAATGAGAAAGCAAGCTGCCAGATCTGGGACTTGAACCGAGGTCAGCCATGTGGGAATCTAGCACCCTTAAACACTGCGCCACTTGCTGGCCTCAAGTTTTTAGATTTATCTCTTCTTTCTTATGATTTGACACTTCTATTATGAAATGGCTACAATTTTTCTCAGATGCTATTTTTATTTCATAAAAATTTTCTGAGGGTGGGACCAGCAGATGGTTAGCTGGTAATGGCCATGTCACTAAACTCCCATGTAGTTGACCACAGTGCGAGTCCTGGACCCAGTGGCTTAAACTCATGGCGGGCACGTGTGTGTGTGTGTGTGCCTAAGATCCCAAGAGGAGAGTTGAGGCAAAGGGATTGTGGTGTGGCCATCCCCCCGGGGGGTGATTTCTCACTTACTGTCTCTCTGTCTCTCTCTCTCTCTGGTGAGCACATACTCCCTATAGCAAAAACTTCTGCAAGCCTATAAATTCTTAGGAATTTGTTCCACAATAAGGATATTTAGCACTTTTTATGGACTTATTTGATTTATCTTAGTTATTGAATGAAAATAAATGATATGACACCCAAAATATATTTTTTATAATAGCAGAGCCCTAATTTTTTATCATATTTTTTAAAAAAATTAGTAAATCTTGTTGCCTGATCCTGATATCAACATTATACTTCAGGGGCAGAATTTTTTTTAAAAAATTGCTACAGGATGCATGTGCTTGTGAAAGAGACAGAGAGAGTGAGTGGAAAGAGGGAGAGAAAGCACCCCCAGGGAGGATGGGCATGCTGCAGTTCCTTCTCCATTTTCCTCTCGGGATTTTGAGCACACATGCCCATTCGCCCAGAGTGTTGTTCAAACCAATGATCCAGCACTCAACTACACAATCAGCCATGTGGGATCCAGCCATCTTAACCACAGGCTAGACCCTAGAGGCAGATTCCTTATTAAGTAGAGCTCCTTCTTTCAAATTACGAATCTGTAGTTAAACATGTCCACACTGACCAGACATACTCCTCTTATCAATGTGGACCTGGCAGATGAAATTGACTTGATTCAGTGATGCCTTATTCATTTAAATGTACATGAATTGAAACAAATTTCTCTATAGGAAAATATATCTGTCCTTACTGAAATGGATGTTGTTAGGTATGCTCTTGTTTCAAAAGGTTAATTCCAACGAGGCTTTACAGCCTTTGAGGGAAGGTTATGTCTTCCAATTTATCACTTTTGATAGAAGCCTAAAACAATACTACCTATATAGTAGGTTCTAAGTCAATTAAATTATTACAGTGCCTCGGTTTCTTTGTTTTTAAAATAGAGATGATAAAATATTTTAATATGAAAAGACTGTTAAGACAATTATATGAACACAATGATATAAATAAGCCAGGAATATAACCATTACTATAAGATTCTTAGACAGTATTTGGTGTGGGTAGCATGATGAGGCATGCCAAGACTGTGTGGTTGCTTAAGGAAATGTTATTTCATAAAGATGATTTATGTTTAGAAGATACCTGTCACTATAAGTGCTAGTCAGTTGTTGTATTACAGTTTGCCCTTAGCTATGTGCTTTTTTCTGTTTTTAATTATAGGCCAAAGTTCTCCGTTTATTAGCCACTAATTATTTGGATTGGAATGACAGAGAATATTATGATAAAGCTGTCAGCGCTATAAATCTAGCAAACAAGGTATAAGAGATTTTGACTTTCAGATATTAATTTTTTAAATAACTTTTAATTCACATTTTGAAATCCAGTTTAGACATTTGCTTCAATAGTCCTCCCTCTGCCTATCAGCCAAACAACAGATTTTTACAATCTCTTGTATAGCACAGAAAGGAAAAAATAAAATATTGCTATGATCTAAATGTTTGTGTTCCTCTTCCCCCAAATTCTTATATTGAAATCCTAACATTGGGGGGGGGGTGTGTGCAGTGGTATTATAAGGTGTAGTTTTATCAACTATACTAGGGAGAAATGTTCACTGTTGAAATATCAATTTTTTAAGGCAAATAATGTGATTGAATGTATAAAAGAAAATGAAATTTTAAAAAATGAAAGAAAAAAATAACTCTTAAAAAAAAAAAAAGAAACACAGGACCAGCAGTTAGCATAATGGCTGTGT